GGAGTTCGGGTGTCCATGCTTGACGTGACTGGCCCCTGTCCCAAGCTTTCTTCAGCTGAGTCGGCCAAGCATCTGCCAGGAGCAGGCTGGGATTTGCGTCCTCTCCTACCACCTCCTGCTTGGTTCTGCCGGGTCCCAACAGGGACCAGTTCGCTGATATTTTTAGAGGGTATGTTCCACAAGCCTCTGTCGCCATGAGAGAAGGACAATGGAGGGTGTTGGGTTACATCGATACTTGGCGTGGAGGCTCAGGGAGCTGGGAGAGGAAAGAATCCTGGGTGGCCTTGATGAGTTCTGGAACGGCGCTCCTTAAGGAATTTCACACCCATGTGAAACGCCCCCTCCTTACGAAATAAGGCACAAACAGCAGGGTTTATACATCCACTTCTCTCCCAGATCCTAATGTGGGTGTTGTGTTCGATGGGACACTTTAGTTAAATTCATCTCTGAAGTAGATACTTGTCCTACATGAGTGCATGATATGTGGTTGTTGGAACAAAACCTTATATCTCCAACTTTCTTTTACATAATATGAAAGTGTGAGCTGCCCTTTACATTGTGTTAACATTTCATGATTAATGGACCAATACAAATTAGGGATGCACCAACATTTTGGCAGTTTTTAACCAAAAGCCTGAAATTTTTGGTGACTAGAGTACAAATAGCACCCACTACTGGAGAAACGTCAGACTGCTAGGCAATAGTTCCAAAGCCATGTCCAGTATTTCATATTATTTAGCAAACTGTTTGAAATTAAATTAGTCCTCTAATTAGTTCTCTCAGTTCTCTTTCCCTACATGGTTGTTGTTACCTTCTAAGCATAATCAGCATTGTTATGTTAATTCAAAAGCACAAATGAAACAGCAAATTATTTAGAAGAGAATCCTTTCTTTCGGTTTTTCTAGTTTCAGTTTCAGCTAAATGTGATCTTGAGTTTTGGCGTAGCTCAAGAATTGTTTATTTTGTTAATTCAGTATTCACCGTTCAGTAAATCCTGAAGTTCAGACGAAAAACTTGGGCCTGAAACTCTAACTTCTTCCCTTTATTGTTTGCCTGAGGGTTACAACGTTTGGGTGGCTCATGTAATAGAGCTAGGTTTTATTAATTCTGAGATGCCAGCTCCTCCTACTTATGTACATTTAATGACCCTGATTGTTGTTCAGTCTTCTGGGCTTCGAGGAGAAGCTTGTAACTATAAGGACTAGGATATCGATGCTATCTGAAGAAAACCTCCATCTCCATTTTTCTTGTTTTTCAGTTTTCGACATAATTTGAAAATGCTTGTGGCCCTTTACGTTGTTTGTAAATGTCGTGATGAATGAACCAAAAGAAACAGCCCAAAATCACCTGGAAAAAAGTCTGGTTCTATTGACTTACATTATAAATAAAGTATGTTTTTTCCTTCTCCTGTAAAATTACCATTTTAGAGATACCAGGTTTTGTTCCAACAGCAGTGATATGCAAGTTCAGCCATTAGAGACTTTGGGATACCCTATGTCTTAAGGTTAAACAGTGTAGTAGAAGAGGAATCTAGCTGGGTAATGTATCTAGTATGGGTTTTAATTCTCCATACATACATACATTCTACACCTACATCTAGGCAGTTAACTGCTAAATGATATGCTCTGCAGGTCCATCCTGCACTGTGCCCTGAGGGTGCATTTACACTGTTTGTAACTTGGGAGACAAAACATTACCAGTACCCTTTTTTCTGACAGTGCAGCATGATGTTTGGAATAATGATGGTCCAGAATGTTAGCTGTACCCATATTAAGCAGGTGACATCTCTGTGACATTGGTCATGTTTAATTGAAATAGTAACCTACAAATGACATTTTGCTAGTATGGACCACCTCATTCAACATAAGATTGTAGTATGATAATAGACAGTATGACTGTAGAAGAGGGCCTGGAGGAGCTGAGGCGGTAATTTTGACAACAGAAGCATAATTTCTAGACAGTTAACAAGGTTTGTATGAAAACATGTAAAGATGGTTGTTATTGTTTCTTTAATGTAGGTCTATATCCCCTAGAATAAAGTTTATGAAGCATAGTTCTGGTTAGACTGTCATATATTATTCATAAGAGTGTTGGAGTTTTGCTAAGACGTCTTCAAGAAGATGTTTTGACGGATGAGACTTTGGACTCACGTACAGTAACTACCATTTGTTTTATGACTGTCAAATCCATTTCGAGACAAGGTTGATCTAAGAATTGGCCTAGAAGGCTCGTTCCATATTACGAATTAGATGGCCACTGCAGAGCAACAAGATTGATAGCCAGCGCTGATGCGGACCTGGTTTGCCTTTGAAAGACAACACTGCAGATAGGAGAATATTGATGTGTGCGACCCGTGGCTGCCTGCAAGCAAGGCTGAATTATTCAGGGAAGTGTGTCACATTGAGAACGTAACACACACCAATCTTGGCTTCGTGTGCTTTGTCTTGCTTTGTCTTCTGTTCCGTTGAATTGGCTGACTCCATGTACAATGCATGAGCTTTGAGTTCAGCTTGAACATATTTTATGTTCTTCAGTGAGTAAGGAGGGAGTCTGTGATTGTCTGCCTTCATGTTTTCATGCTCATAATGGACAAAATGAGGTGTAATGTGGAATTACTTAGATAATTGCAACAGTTTTGGGCAAATTTGGGGAATCATGACTTGTTACTCAGTGCCACAAAGGTTCTCTGTGTGGTGAATCACAGCTTGAAAAGGTTTGAAATTTTGCTGAAAATTCTCAGAATGACTTCAATTTTTCTTCCTAGGCATATTTTAAACAAGCAGATTATCAGTATCCAACATCGTTACACTTTGTTTTAAGGTGGCATATGTTTACATTGTCTATGTAGGTTCACAGCTGCCCTTTTAAAGAGCTTCACACCAAAGTGCTGGCCTTTTTCTCTGGTATCAGTGTTGCACAGTTGGTTATGTGCTGGTGTGAGCTATTTTTTCCCTCCAGTTCTGGGCTAAAAGCCATGTAAAGGGTTGAAATGGGTATGGATGTTTCTAGAAAGATGAAGTTCAAGAACGATATAGTAATATAAGGAAAGGAATAAAGGAATAAGGACTATTATAAAACAAATGGTTTAGCGAAAAACCAAATGTACACATTTTTCTCCTTATTCAAAATGTAATACATCAGCCAAGACTTGTTCAGTGTCTAAAGTTTGCTCCTTTAGTTTTGCACTGGAGCTACGAAGCTAGACCTGTGCCCTGTGGTAGTTACCTGAGTTACCATGGTAACGGCCTCCAGTTTTTAAAACGTGGTTATTCATTTATTGATTGATTTCATGCAAACCGTAGCAAGACACTAGCATTCCCACATGTGAACACAACTGAATTTTTAAACATGTTTAAGTGCAAGAGGGACGTGATGTCCTGCATTAATACCACTTTTATTGTGGTTGGCTGTTGAGCTGCACTGGTTGAACACGCTTGGGGCAGGGGCACTGCATGCTGTTGTGGTAGGCAGATAGCTGGACAAAACAGCTTAGGGTTTTGAGAACAAACATGGTCATGTCTCAGCTCTTGTACAACTGGACGTCCTCTGACAAATAGGCTTCAGGCTAAACGCCCTCAGACAAAACAGCCTCAGACAGTAAAGTTTGTGTCGTATTCACAATGCAGTTCATTTTTACTAGGTCAGTTACACTTTTGTGTCCAAATTAAAAATGTAAATATTCTAAAACCACTAGGTTTACTGAAATCTGCCATGATTACCTTATTTTATTTGTTAAAGATTAAGCTTGAACTTACTTGCTATCAGTGTGTTTGCTTCCTGTCTCAAAATTAGAAGAAAAAATGTGCAGAAATAAAAAAAGTAAAAAAATAAATAAATAAAAGAAGTTCCAGTTTAACCTTTTACTGTTTAAGAGGATTACCAGCAGGGAGCTGGTCGTGGCTAATGTAATGTTAGCTAACAATGTATAGAAGCTTGTACTCCACTAATAGAAGCTTATGCTCTACTAATTAGCAAACAGCACAACAAAATCATCTCACTCTTGCCTCAAACTGTTTTTGGTGTTTAACCCTCACCTGTACGTCAAATTTGTTGTTTCTATATCTGTTTCTCTATCTTTGCATTAAAACAGCACAAAAATACGGTCCAGACATTTCCTGAATCTATAGAGTCACCCTTTCTTATCATCTTATCACGAGATCATACGTGACTCACATCTGGAGTTATGAGCCAATGAAGAGGGGCTGGGATACACGTCATCTGCCTCTTACCATGTGTAATTGGTGGATTTGTCTGTTTGTCTGCATTTTGTGTGAAACTGACCAATAGACACTCAGGAAATCACTTAGGACTGACCCATCATGCCAGAAACCCTTAATTCATTAAAACATGTGGTTATCATGTTATATGCAAACACCTTTAAAGGAGAATTTAAGAAGATATGCAAAACTTATGAAAAGGCTTAATTTCCAATAGATTCGCTGATGTGTTTTTGACACTGTATGACACACTGTTTTCTATAATAATGGACAAAAACACATCCAGTAGCTAAAAGCAGTAGTAGCGGTTGTCTGTTCTTTTGTCCACTGTGTAATTTTTGTGTGATTCTTCATCAGATTATAATTTTAAAGGCTAATTTATCAAGCAAATGCTTATGGGCTCTCCAGTGGCATTAGGGGTGGGATTAAACCCAAACAACGCCCGACTAGTGTGAAATCAAAGGGATCTGTTTGAGGAAGAAGGAAAGAAAAGTTATGAAAATCTATACGACCCATCTTTAAAATATTACAAAGCCAGTAAAGTGAGTATTCATTCGTTCTGGTTTGTATAACGTCTGCATATGTTCGCAGATATGCATACGCAGAGGTACAAGTTTTACAGTTTAGCTTTAGCTTTAGCCTGAGGTGCAGGTCAGGTGCACTCTCAGTAAACTTTCTACAATTACATGCATCCATGGCTCTTTGCAAAGAACTCTCGCAGCTGTGAGTTCTCAGCGGGGGCAGTACCCAGCAGTGACCACCGCATGCCGTTTTCTGCCACAGATCCCGAGTGTGTCCCCGAGAGGGTGTCTGAGGATGCGGAGGACGGGCGTCTGAGGAGGAGGAGGTGCTCTCCTGAGGAAGGGGACGAGGCGGAGGAGGAGGACGAGGAGCACAGCTGCCGCGCCTGCCGGCAGGTGTTCGACTCACTGAGCGATCTTACCCAACACAAGATTAATCAATGCCAGCTGACAGGTAAACAACGCTCATTCTGCCGCGCTTAGCACAGCCTAGCTTAGCACCTAGCGCCACACCAGTCCCGTCACCACCGTCCCTCCCTGTCGCTCCCTCATATCTGTCCTGTGTCCTTTTGAATTTTCTTGTTTTGGTAGTGAGATAAACAGGCAAGTGATATTTTGGAGCTCTGAAGACTGAGATATTCCCATAATTCAAGTTTTTATTAGTTTTTAATGATTCTGATGGTCTGTCCTCAGGTTACTGAGACACACCTGACATCACGCCATACATCACAATAATCTTCACTTCCATCTCTCTCTCTTAGAAAAGTAGTTTCACTGTTTAATCTGTAAAGTTTGCATGACTCTTCAATTAGGTCCACTTAGAACTAAGAGATAATTACTGTTTCTTTCTTTCTTTCTGTCTTTCATTCTTTCTTTCTTTCTTTCTTTCTTTTTGGTTTAATTTGTTTTTAATGGTTCGGATGATATTCAGGTCTCTGAAACACACCTGATGTTACATGATACATCATAATTATGTTCTAATTATGTTCAGTTTCTGTCTTTCTCTAATAGACATGCAGTTACATCTAGTTGTTTAATCCATAAAATTTAGATGACTTTCTTTCTTTCTTCCCTCCTTTTTTTTACTTTTCTCCTCTTTCTACTTTCCTTTCCTTTTAACTTTTGCTTTCTTTTTCCTTTTTCTTCTTTGTTCCTTACTTGCCTTTTTTCTTTCTCTTTTCCTCCTCCTTTTTTCTTTTCTTTCTTCCTTATTTCTTTGTTCCTCTTTCTTCCTTACTTTTCTTCTTTTAGTCTTTGTACTTTCTTTTTTATCCTTTTTCTACTTCTTGTCTTTCTTTCATTTCTTTCTTTCTTTCTTTCTTTCTTTCTTTCTTCCTTTCTTTCTTTCTTTCTTTCTTTTTCTTTCTTTCTTTCTTTCTTTCTTTCTTTCTTTCTTTTCCTATTTCTTTCTTTCTTTCTTTCTTTTCCCCTCCTCCCTTTGTTCTTTTCTTTCCTGCTTTCTTTTTCCATTTCTTACTTTACATCTTACTTTCCTTCTTTCTTTCTATTTACTTTCTTTTTTCTGTATCTTTTTTCTATTTCTTTCTTTATTTCTATTTCCTCATTTCTTTCTTTCTTTCTTTCTTTCTTTCTTTCTTTTTCCTCTTTCTTCCTTGCTTACTTTCATTTTTCTCCCTATTTCTTTCTTTCTTTTTCCTTTTTCTTCCTTACTTTTTAATTTTCTCCGTTTCTTCGTTACTATCATTCTTTCTTTCTTTTTGCTTTCTTTTTTCTTTATCTTTTTTCTTCTTCCACACTTTCTTTCTTTCTTTCTTTCTTTCTTTCTTTCTTTCAGACGTAGTCACAGTAACCTTGTTCTCTGGTGGTGTAGGTTGAAGTGTCTGTACTGCTGCATTAGGTAGATCACAGTCATATGAGGTCTCATTTGTCAGCTCCTACAATCTTCTGGAGCTCAGCTAATATCGGCGAGTCTGTGAGGGTCACTGGCAGATGGATGTCATTGCTTGTCTGATGTATGAACATGACTAAAAATACACTGACAGCGATGGCTTGGGAAACTAATGATATCAGCTAAAGGCTTTTCTAGCCTGCTTCTGCTGGACTGGGTGCCCTGTTTGTTCTAGACTCCAGTCTGTGTCAGTGATCTAGATTAGTTTACTGTTGTGATGAAACAAACACTCAACAGACTCTTAGTAACATGTCAAAAACATATGAGGGTTAGGATTAGGATTTGGGTTGAGGTTAAGGTTCTGCAGGTACTGCTACTTCACTGATACATTATTGATGTGTTACTGATTATCTGTTAAGAGTGTATTAATCATCTACAAAGGACCACTCAAATAAACATTTATAAAATGCAGAAATTGGGACCACATCTACCTGGATTAGCATTGCAGAGAAATCTAAAAGAGAAATATTAATTTCTTTATTCTTACAAATGCAGTAATAGGAATAAAATGAAGGCATTTTAGCACAGTAACCCAGCATCACCTAAACATTCTGCTCTTCCAGAGTACAATAAATACATGATTGATATATCAGTCAAATCTACCCAATTATGGTAATTTTTTAAAGCAATTATCTGCTGAAACCAATACGATTCTGATTCCTTTGTCTGTCTGTAATGAAGATAAGTTGGTTGATTAGTTTTACAGTATAAGAGTTCATATTTTACTCAAAACGTTCAAAAGTCTGAGTAAAAAAATACATATAATGGATTAGTCTTTGCAGAAATAACAAAAGAATGACTATTCTTGGAGGAAACGTAATCGGTTTGAAACCTTAAACGGTTTGAAACACACTGAGAAATGATCGCATCTTGCCAAAAGGAACATTGAAAACGGTTAGGTAAATATTTTCTATGAGATGTAGAGAGGGCTCTGGGAGTGATTTGGTCCGGTGGGCACAGATCCCTGTAGAACTGCTTTACTTTACACTTGACAGTAAGTCTTTGTGTGCCTTTTCATCTTAAATGTGTAAGTGTCTCTGAGAAAGAGAGAGAGAGAGAGAGAGAGAGATGGTTTGAGTGTTCCTCTTGTATCTAGCCACAAATTATAAGGCACGAATGATTTGGATTGGTCTCGTGTGTCTAGACGAACAGTAAGATCTTCCATATGAGTATTACAGAGATTTTCCGTTTACTGAGAGCCGCTGTATTTGTGAGGGAATAGACTTTATGAACATGTTTCATGTCTATTAGTGGGTGTTTGGGAGTGTGATGTGTGTGTGTGTGTGTGTGTGTGTGTGTGTGTCAGAGGCAGAGGGAATGAGCGATGCGTGCGATAAGGCATATTATTTTATTCATTTGAGAAAGACAGGCAATCAACTCAGGAACACTAGCAGGCAGGGCTGTAGTGAATAATTCAGCTAAGACCTAATGCTATTCAAACGCTCTCTGAGTACGTTCACTATGAATGTATTTGTCACACGTTGCTCCCCAAATTAGTGCTGCGCCTCACTTCTACTGGCTCGTGCATCTTGCTCTCCTATTTCTTACGACAGTCTCTCCTCGGATATGAGCTGCATGCAGAACTGCTGGAGAGGGCTGTGCCACAAATGTCTTCTTAGTGTTTTGCATTTTGGTCTATATTACCATGGTTGGTTTAGCTCTTAAAGGGGAATTCCACCAAATTTTGAAAAATTTGCTAAATTAGTCTTTGAGATGTAAACAGTCATTCACAGTAGTTTGATACGAAAAGATTAATTGTGAAGAAATTTACTGACTCTGATTTCTTTCCATTGATGTTGATAGGAACCAGTGTTCACTGTCAACAGTGCAATAAAGACATTTTGTTTATTATCCAAAATGACCAGTTAACCTCAGTGTGTCTTCTAAATTTTTGTATGTAATGTTGATGGTTGTAAAATAGTGATAAATCAGAAAAAATAACATTTTCAACACCTGACATATACTTCTTCACCATGGATGTTTTTTTTATGCTTTTTAGACCAAAGCCTTATTGTAAAATATTGCAAAACAATGTTTCAGGCATCAGTGAATGCATCCATAATTATTTTGAGGAGTAACTTTCTGTGAGGGAGCTTTTAGAGACGTTAAATGCTTTGGACATCTGGTTCCCATCACAACCACTGTAAAAAAATCTGATGTATTTCACATCAGACTACTCTGAATGTCTGTTTGTATTAATTACATTATGCAGAAATTTTGAAAAATTGATGAAATTCCCCTTTAACCCTTAGAAGTCAGTGCCAAGGCTAACAAAAGCATGTTGTAAACATTTTTAAAGGTAACTGATTGAAACAAGAGGAAAAATTCTGTTGTAATTGCAGATTCTATACATTTCGTTTGATACCACATTTATGTTTGTACATAGAAGAAGAGATATTTTGTCATGATTATGAAAAGTTATTGCAGTCTAAAATCCTTTATTTTCTGCTTTTTTCATGTTTTTCTATAGAAATAAACAGAAAAAAATGTTTAAATACATCGATACTGAATGTAAATTTGATATAAATGTAATTTGTGAAGTTGTAAAAACTGTGTGATGGAATTTATAACAAACTGAGAATAACTCTGCACGTCTGAGTGTTAAACTTCGTTTGACAGTTTCGTTTTGAATTCTGGAGTCATATTTCAGTTCATATTATAGTTTCTTTTTTTGTGTATTTCATTTTTCTCAGTTGTGATCCCCTGCCCCAAAGGCTCCTTTGTGCTGCCTTCCTGCCATTAGCCCGACCCCTCATTAACGTCAATCTCTTAGACAAATAACTCCTAATTGAACAATACTTGAAAAGCGGTTTGAATTAGACCCCCCGTGGAAGCCAAATAAAAGAAGGTAATTGCCTTTTCGGAATTGTGCGGAGCTCGCCACCTCCGGAACAAAAGAGACAGGTACAGTTAAACCAGGTCTTTCCGGAAAATGGACACAAACAGATCCTTCATTGAAAGTGTTTTGCACTCGGGGGCCCCAAAGCTGATTTTGAATGGTAATGTGTTGAAGAACTGTGTTATTCACTGTTTCTTTTAGTGGTCGGAAGTAGGGCTGCACGATATGGCCAGAATACTAACATTTAGTGATGTTGTGATTGCAGTGCACCTTGCAATGTGGTTAACACTTTAAGGCCTGACAGTCTTTGGTTAAGTTCCCTTAAACTTGTTTAAATCTGCCGCCAGAGGAGTTATGAAAAGTGGATCAGCATATGGAGCCTTCTGTGTGGTATGCTGTAAAAAGTGGCTCATCAAATCTACTTAAAAATTACTTCATGTAGTAACAAGCAATTGAACTAGTTTTATTCAACTCGAAATATTACTTTGATTAAAAGAATCGTTCATTCAAAAGTATTTATTTAGGTTGAATAAAACTAGTTAATTTACTTGTTACCACATGAAGTAATTTTTTTTTGAAGTAGATCTGATGAGCCCCTTTTGACAGTGTACTATGTTTTTATCACTGTTTAAAAACGTAATATCGGTTGCGTTTTATTAGTCTGACTAAATAAAAAAGGGCCATTTCTGCCATATAATCTACTCTC